AAAAAAAAAAAAAAACGAAAGATTTAAGACTTAAAAATACAAAGCGAGGTACTGGTAACTAACTCAACAATAACGAAAACAAAAGGTGATAGCTAATAAAGTGACAGCTAAACCATGCGTAGTTCATGTGTTATGTTTGTTGCCGCTGTTTGCATTTTATTTCTTGTTAAATTGAAATGGCCAAAGAACAAGAGTGTTCATGATGAAAATTTCAATTTTTAGCACTAAAATTGGTCGCGGTCGCTTACACGTGGTGGTCGCTTACAAGAGGTTCCGAATATAGTGATTTGATTTGGAAACTTTTGGTATTTTGGAAAACTGGTCGCTGAGGAGAGCCCAGGTGGTCGCTTACGAGAGGTGGTCGCAGCTGGAGGTTCGACTGTAGCACCATTACATCTTTGATATTGGACATCCACATGATATCGCTATCTGACAGCTGTCAAAACAGAGTATCCGCTGACCAGTATCATTTCCAATATTGCGGGCTCAGGTTTGTCAGATACCGTAAACTACGTTAGTCTGCTGTAACAATATCTTAGTGCGCTGATCGAGTTCTGGGTGGGGCTGGTTGAGCATGCGTAATGATACAACTGTGTTTAGACTGACAAGAAAAGCTAACATTCCGAAGGTCTCTTGAAAACCTTGTAGATATGCCTCGCATCATGTTGACAGACATTGAATACGGTAATTTTTTTTTTCCCCAACGAACACTATCGGTTAAGATATTTTAATTATTGAAGCAATTGATCTTCTTAGTACCTCAGATCATGTCAGATGCAAGTCGCACTTTGTCAGCACAAAAGCTCTCTCTGATCCAGTCGGGTGTCTGGAAAACCCGAATAGCGAATAGCGAATAGTCGCGAATAGCGAATAGTCGCGAATAGCGAACAGCGAATAGTCCCGAATAGCGAATAGCGAATAGTACGAATAGTGCGAATAGTGCGAATAATCTCGAATAGTGCGAATAGTGGCGAATAGTCTCGAATAGTGGCGAATAGTGGCAAATGGTGGCAAATGGTAGCAAATAGGGTACCCAGTATCTCGCAGTCAACCTCGCAACAACGTAGGATGGGATTTTCCCGCTAAAAAGCACACACGCTTTTCAGGACAAAAGATGTTTCTAAACGTAATTTCTTCTGTTTTAACCGCTGCAAAAGCGTAAATACGTCTTTATTAGGTTATCCTTGCGTTTTTTGTTTTCTTGATGTCGGCGATGGACAGCCCTAGCCTGAGTTTGGAGAAGAAAAGGTAATAAATTGACTGAAATTCTGTTGCTTGTTAGGATAATTAATCAACGCTGGATATTAGATCTAAAGCGGTGACTATTGACGACTATTCGTCACTATTCGCCACCTTTGGCCACTGTTCGCCACTATTCGCACTATTCGAGACTATTCGCAACTATTCGCACTATTCGGGACTATTCGCTATTCGCTATTCGCGACTATTCCCTATTTACTATTCGGGTTTTCCAGACACCCGATCCAGTCAAGTGAACTTCAGTTTCCCGTGTCTCTAGGAATCTGTGACGCATGCCACTCAGTAAAGTCATGTTACTCATGAATCGTTCGTGACGGCCCCACACATAAAAACTGAAAAAAATATCCAAAAATATTGCCTGACAATCTGTCAAAGTTAAATCTGCAGTGCTATTCTAGAAAACAGATCAGAAAAAGAACACGAAAATCGTTTCATCAATTTAATAGAAGGTAGTTTATCATGACCTGTGGACCGTGAAACATTTTAAAACTAAAACTTCCGGTTGGAATCGCATCCTGTTTTGATTAGACTTACCCAAGTGACATCATGCCAAGTTCTGGGCTGGGGTCATGTATACCATATTTCCTTCAATAAAAGCTGGGGGCGATTATTTCTATTTTCGCACCAAAAAGGGGCATATGAAAGGGGCAATTATTCGAGGGCATTCCAGTCCAAATTTGTGGGATGTGGTTTATTGCAGTTTTGACTGGAAATATAAGTATCTTCCTAGTCCTCCAACGTTTTACGAGCCTTTCCCAGTTTCCGACTGATTTAATCCACCATGCGAGTTATTACATGAAACATGAATAGCTCTAATCAGTCAACAATTTCAGCAGTCTAGCAACATATCTATTATTACAAGTCACAGCTGTGCTGGGCCAGCAATTCAAATTGAATTAGTGCACGGCTAACACAACTACACTTAATAAAGAAATCTGGTAACTCATCAAATGTTTCAGAAAGTACTGTTTATTTACATGTTTTTTTGTATACTTTGCATATTAAACCAATGTCTGTTGGTCTCCTTTATAATGGCAGGACAGGCTCTCCATCTACCAGACAATGCTCTCTGTAGCAAGTGATTCACTGTTCATTTTCTGTTTCTCACGTGCTAGAATTTTGAGATGGATAGTTTTTTCTTTGTACATGCAAGCATGTTTAATTTCTGCCAGTATTCACACTAATAGAATGCACAACACAATGGTTCTGCTTGCTCAACTTGATGTTTTCCATTCTTGTCTTTATTTACACAAAGCTACTTCTCTAGTAGCCCAGTCGTTTTAATATCGTCACAACTTCATCTTTGTATATTCCTTTGATTTTCACTTGGCTTGTAAGTTCATTTATTGAGGTGATAACATCATCTCCAAGATGGTGTTTCAAACAGTCATCAAGAGCCTGAAAGCAAAAAAAAAAGAAAAAAAAATTGAGGCCATACCTGGAAAACATCTCATCAAAGTATAGTATTCAAAAAAGTTGGGAAGATACACTGCCCTAATGGTAATGGCACAGACAATGATGTTCTATTCTTTACAGAAATAATCTGTTGACACTCCTCTATGTTTTGCCCCTGGTATATTTCTGTTCATATTTCTAGAGAGCTTTCACTCATAAGAGTTCTGCAAACAAAATTAAAGCTCAAGCATCAAGGGGAAAATTATAAGGGTAGGAACATGACCTGACAGGAACAAAAAGTCACTACAGCTAGGTAGTTTGATTTACCAAGAGCAAAGTTACAGTACATGGAGAGGTGAATCCAGTTACCGGTAGCAGCAAAGATCCAAGTTACATGTACTGGGGACGCAGGTGATACAGAGTCAACTGTGCTTGTTTGTAATCAGTTCATGCCCATAATTTATTCAGTCAGATTGCCAAAATAATTTCTGCAAAAATCTTGTGAATACATCTAAACACATAAAATGCACCCTCGCCATATGCTAAGGTGATTAGGGTGGCTTACGACAGTTTTGATGGATTATAACTGCCCAGTTTCTAACTCTTTTAAAAAATGTTCCAAGATGTTTTTCCTTTTTCCATTTACTGTTTGCTTAAGTTTTCTTACCATTCTATGTGAAACTTGTACAATTAAACGTCAACAAATCATTGTCCAAAATGAAAGAATGAGTACCCAAGGAGAGATTGGGCACTAGTAGGTTAAATCATGTTTTTCTCAAAATCTATCCACATGACCCCACCTCAAAATTTCAGGAATAAGAAGTCGGTGCTGATTTAACATTCATGCAAAGTAAAACAAAAATCTGTAAGACAGATTTTTCACAAACTAAGAAAATGTGAGATCAAAAATAGCTCAAAGTCTGTCTTACAGATCTTTTTTTTAAATTTTGGCTCTAAGCGTGATTCACCACTACAAATCAACTGTGAAAATTTCATCATGGGTTGTACGGTAGGTTTTTGAGCAATCCTCAATCAAAAACTACCTTTTACAACCTTGGACGAGAATTGAATTGCGAATGTCCTTTATTAAAGGGCGCACTCATGTGACGACATGTATTGCGTGCGGGGAAGCAACAGTAAATTAGAGCTCTTTTACCAGTTATTTATAGAGCTTTTTTTGTCATATTTTTTTGGCCCTAAGCTTAAACACTTGTTTGAACAGAGTTTGAAACTATTGCTACATATACCGAAGAAATTTATTGCCTTTTATGTGCTGACGTGGTTTTCGTTTCTTCTTAGGTTTACTTGCATCATTTTTGCATGCGCGATTAATACTGATATCTAGCAGGCATTCGAAGTGCGCACTACCGGGTCTCAGAAAAACTGTAGTAAGCCATGTTCAGTAGGATTTTGGGAATAACAAGGGAGGTGTTCAAGTCTGTGAACACCTCCCCTGTGTTCAAGCCCAGAAGGCCAGAAGCCCAGAAGCCCAGAGGTCCCTGATTCCACACCAAGAGCCGACTGGAGATATTTCTTCTCCCCTCTGGATTGGATGCTAGACCATTGCAGCACTACCTCCAGCAGTACCTTTACTAGTACCCATTTTCACACCTGAGCGGAGAGGGGTAACAAGAGAGTAAAGTATCTTGCCTAAGAACACAAGACCATTAACCTCAGCCAGGGCTTGAACCCAGGCCACTTGATCTGGAGTCCAGTGCACTAGCAGTTCATCCACCAGGCCTGAGTCCAAGTCAGGAAGAACAAAGTCACAATATTGTTCATAGGCAAACGGGCAAATCTGGACTAGGGGTGGGGGGAGGGGGGGTGACCATTCTTACCCGAAAACAATATGCAATGCCTAAATGCGCAGGTGTTGAAATCAAAATGCAAACAAACTCAAATTCCATGAAAAACAATTCTCACATCTAATGGAACTGCAGCTATAATTCTGAAAATATTTATATTGAAAGGTTGCATACTCAATGACCTTATCAGCAGTCTCAATTTTTGTCAATTTTACCCCAAATGTTTGACAGAAAAATAACATAATTTCCATAGTTGGGGGGGGGGGGGGCCTGCAAAAGTCTTACCTTAAGGTCTCCTTTTATTTTCCTTATTATAGTGATCTTACGACTTCTCGCATTCTTGTAATCTGTGTATACTGGAAGATTGTTGTATTTGGATCTTTTAATGAAGAAAGGTAAGTTTGGTTTTTCTACAAAAAAGATCAATCAATCAATCAATAAAAATTAAATTTATGAATTCATGTTTCACACAGTTTGAGATAAATAGCAAAGCTTCTAACGTCCACTCATGCAACAACCCATTCATTAGTTACAATCATTATTCATCCCCGAATGATGAAAATATATTACCAGTAGCTGAAGGAACCCAACCACTGGGAGACTTCTGAATCTGTTGAAGTCGCTCTGGCTTGATTTCATAGGTGAAATATTTCTCGGTGGTCGATGTTTGGACACTTGTATTAACACCCTAAAAACAAAACAATAGAAAAAAATCTGTAAATAGATTACTGCTAGAAATGGAAAATACCAAGTAAAGATTTTCACCTTAGGTTGCGGTGCTCTTCTTGGAAAATACAGCGCTGTATTTGAAGAAAAGAAAGCTCTACAAATTTTAATGACAGCCGCCATTTTGAATTTCTGGGTTTACGCTGATATCCGCTGACACTTCATTGCGGGCTCTGATCCCAGCGGTCTTTTCGCGCCATGCGTCAAATGGCTGCGCTGTATCATCTCTCTTCCTTTTAGAAAATTTGGTTGCACCACCACGTGTAATCTGTGAGAACGGTAGGCAAAAACTCGCTTTATTTATATCGTTAAAGGCTGAGTTGGGGCTCATTTTACACCGTAATACGTCGCATACCTATTGTAGCTACTTTTGGTGTTAGTTTACTCAAGATGCAGTTGTTTATTCGCGGAGAAAATCTACATACTTTCGATGTTACTGGCGGGGAGAGTGTGTTCGATCTGAAGAATGTCATTGCCTTTGCTGAGGGCATTCCCGCTGATGAACAAGTTCTCTTCTACGCTGGAAAGCCTCTTGATGATACCCTGAGCCTTGTAGATTGTGGAGTAGCTGATCTGTCCACTCTTGAAGTTGGTCTTCGTTTGCTTGGAGGTAATCTTTTAGGATTCTGTTCAGAAGCTTAATTTGTGTGTAAAATGATTGTAAGTTAAAGGGTCTTATGAGCATGTTAAATACTGCCTTGAACGTAAATAGTAAGGCATTTCACTGCCATACCGTCACATCTGTAAGCAAGGTAAGCCTATAACAGAGAAGCTGACCAAGGCATTTTCTGCCACGATTATATGTTGAAAAGTAGAAATAAAAGTTCATTCTAAGAGAGCGTGGAATAAGCTGTTGTTCCTGTGGTGGAACAATTCAATAGTTTCTATTCTGCAAATTAGAAAATTCTTTGAATAATAATTCATAAATTACTGTGGAAGTGATATTTGTAAAACAAAAAAAAAAAATAGGTTCACGCAAGTATGCATTTTTTGTACATGGTTAAACTCTTATTTAATGATGTAACACAAAACAAGTTCTACAGTTGTTAAATGAATTTCGTAAGTCGATGGGCTTTCTCAAACAGCGCAAAATACAAAGCCACTTCTAAAATCAGGAGCTTACATGTATTGTAGCAAAAAGTTACAGTGTACAGTATATCTAGTTAATAGTTTGTTGTTATAAGGATTGCTTTTCACTTGGTGTGAATTATTGTAGAAGTGTTATGTTGATAGATATACCATATGTATGTGCTACTAGGTACACGTACATGTTGTATTAGGGGTGACTATTGATTTTAAATTTCATTATTCCAGTAGTTTGATGACATTCATGAAATATTGTCACAGTTATGTACACAACTTCAACAATTGCTTAAGCTGTGTAGATAACTGCAGTGACCATGTCTTCACATCTTTCTTTTGCAGTTCAAATTTAATATCTTTCATGCATTCACTTGCATTTTTTACCATCTACGGGAATAGTATAAACTCGCAACGCAACCAACTCCGAATTGGCTTGATACATAATGTAGCTCAGTTGCAATTGGTAAAGCACTACACCCATATCCCAGGGGTCATGGGTTTGAATCCTGTTCAAGAGTGTGTGTTTTTTTTTTGTTTTTTTTTCATGCTTTAATTTCACAGCTGCTTAAGCTTTGGATGTAAATTGCAATGATCATTCATGTCTTCAACAATTGAAAATAAAGCCCTAGAAAATATTTGGGCTTGAACAGGATTCAAACCCATGACCTTTATGATATAGGTGCAGTGTTCTACCAAGTGAGCTATCAAGTCAATTGAAGGCTACAATGAGTGACAAAAGTGTTGAGACACTCCACAGTGAAATTCGATTTTTGAGTGTCTTGGAAACATTTCTTCACCCTCCCTCCCTCTCTCCCTCCTTCCCTGCCTCCCTCAATCAATCAATCAGTCAACTAACTTGGAATATTAATCGAAAAAATACAATGGTCAATCAGCTGGGAAAAGATTATGGACATTGCATTTGAATTTTTCCACGAGGTCTAATTCATTGTTTGGCTAATGAAAGGTTACTGACAATCAGCTTTCATGTCAGATCTGTGTTGTTTTGAGTAGTATAGCTTGGGTGCTTCCTGTTGTTCGTTGCTTAAATAGCTGAGATATGTCGCAGATAGAAAGCAGCTGAGCTGTGCTATCATAATCTTAGTCTGTATAAGTCACAATTTCAGAACCTGAATTACGATGAGACTTGAAGAAAAGGTTACATCAATGACAAGATTTTTATGCTGGACAGTACATGTATGATTAATATTTTTCTCACATAATGTTCCAGACGGCCTTTGATTCATAAGTACGTAACACAGTAACACGATTACCTTTTTTAATTGCTTTTTTGTCTTTTGTTTTCGTTTGTGGTTCAGAATGTGGGCCTGTTGGTGTAGAAGACAGGAACACAATACCAGATGCCAGAATGACGGCAAGCACAAATTTTGATAGTTATACGTATCCATACTATGGTCGGCTGAATGAGCACAGGGGAGATGGAGCGTGGTGTACAAACACAACAACAGACAGAACAGACTATCTTCAAGTTGATATGAGTGCAGTACGGTCTGTTTGTGCTGTGGCAACACAAGGAGAAAGAGTAGGCCCTTTCTGGACCACCAGCTACAAAGTGCACCTTTCTACAGATGGAGTAACATGGAACAGCTACAAGGAAAACAATGCTGAAAAGGTGACTAAGATAATATTTACTTCATACTTACTTAGAGTTTCGGATAGAATTGATCGCATGAAATCCCATGCGGAAATTTCTTCATCCAATCACAATGGCGAAACGACTTTCTTACACGTGGAAAAAGCGTTTCATCAAATCAGAAATCAGACCCGACGCGACCTTAGCGTGTTTTAGCCAATTCCTCAAACAGAAAGAAGAGATCTGAAAAGTGGAAGAAATCAAATTAGATGAACTCAACAAGTTCATGTGCGAATTTATTTTAAATGTCAAACGAAAATATGACCAGGATTACAAACCATCAAGCCTTCGAGAGGTTTGTCTGAATAAAAGCATAACTTGACTATTGTTCTGCTAAATGAAAAAGCAAATAAATTTTCTTAAAATCGTCGATAGTGAAAATCTCAGTAAGTATAAAATAAACAAATTACAGCACGGAATGTGCTTTGTACGGTCTTAATGCACTCGTTGTTTTTGTATCAGAAAACTCGTGCGTAAATACCGTACGCGCGCACTTTCCATGAGGTAATCTATATTTTCTTATCCAGGAGTGTAGGCCTATAGAGAAATCGTAAAGTTTTATTCTCAGTAAACAGGACAATTGTCTCATACTTAAGTCATACAAGCCCTGAAGTCCTTGTTTATAAAGGATGTTTGTACCGCTATATATTGCAGGAAAAAAAAGAATCGGGAGCAAGAAATAGTTTAACAAGCCGGGTTACCCATATAACAAGTTTCGAAAAGAATGAAAATTCTAAATACAAATTTATCTGAAAAAGTTAAAACTAAAAATCTTCCCATGTTAGTTTTAATCACTCAGCGAGAATTTCGATTTG